ATGTGATTGATATTTTTTTAAAATGTGTCTTGCGAAAATACCTTAAGGATAATGAAGCAACTGCTAATGAAAAAGAATGAACTGGTCATTTTAATATGTGTCCTTTTTGTAGAAAATTAAACTTTAATTATTATTGGGGTCGATATTTTTTTGCTTCCGATGATAATCAACAAAATCCATTTCTCGATCTAATCGATGAGAATCTTAATCGTTGTGGTATCTATAATTATTGGAATTCGAATCCTTTGCATGTTGGCAATAAGTTTCAGTTGAGAATTATTGATATTCCTTATATTCAAAATTTTTTACTACATATAAAAATTGCAAAAATATAAAATTGTATTGGTGTGTTCATGAAAATATTAGCGTGTACCATAAACATGGCTGTCTTTTAGATATTTATTCAGAAAAGGATCTTTTTTATTATGTGGATCATTTTTTAAAGCAAAATCATAAATTTAATCAATGCCCCGATTGTGATAAAATAAGTGTAAATAGAAAAAACGAATTGGAATATATTAGAGTAAAATGTCAATGTTTTAAGAATATTAAGAAATGATTATTAATTATTATGTAATCATTATTATTTAATAAAAAATTATATCATTTGGTTATTGTTTGCTATTACAGCTATATATTTTTGTACCCCAAGAGCTGAATTCAGTTTTTTTATAGTAAAGTTAAGAAAAAAAAGCGTTTGAGCTTGATCAAAGTTTAATAAGGCCTAAATGCTTTATTATAACAAAAGCCAAATTCAGCTTTTGTTGCCGGTGTAAGTTATTATATAATTAGTATATTACATTTTTTTCCTGTAACTCTTGAGCCTCAACGTCAATAATCTTTTTTTGAATACTATCGTTAATTCTAGAATATAACTCAAGATGTTCATTATGATTAATGCCTACAATCTCAGAACTATGGTTTACAGAAAACATCTCCATATTATCAAACCAAAAAATCGCTTCCCATATTGTGATTGCCAGTTTTTTATCATGTTCTAACTTGAAGTCTATTGCTAGTTTTTTACTTCGTTTATGATTAAATATTCCATTATGTCCTGCTCCATAATTTTGTATTTCAGCCGTATATTTTTGTACCCCAAAAAAACCACTCACTAATTAAATCACCTTAATTAAAAACCACCCACTAATTAAATCTCCTTAATTAAAAACCACCCACTAATTAAATCACATTTTTTTGGGGGCACAAAATGAAAAAGGGTCCATTTTTTATTAAGAAAAAAACAAAAATGACCCTATTCTGCTGCCGTACAAAGTAATCAAAAACTACCCATGTATAGGGAGTTAGTAGGTATTACGTAATCATGGACATTCTCTGGAATATTGTTTATCTGAGGACCCGTTCTGGCTTTTTCTAAGTGACCAAAATGATCGCGATAGACACCCACGTGCAAGCACGCAGTTATCCGTCTGGTATTTTGAAGAGGAGTGTGTAATATTATTAAGGGCCTTCGCTATGTTTAATTAGCGCTACGCTTCACAGTTATAAAAAAAACTTACAGAAAAAAGTATCTGAATATTAAAAAGGAAAAATTTCTGTCTGCTAGAGCAAATACAATGGACTATTAATCTAAAAAAGCTTAAGATCTGGTTTAGAAAAG